GGCTGCTTGTCCCGCCGCAGCGAGCGGGAAGGCTGAGTCGGGCTCTGCTCTCCTTAGGGAGCCGGCGGCCCTGTGAGCGCTGAGGGGCCCAAAGTCCGGGGGCGTTGAAGCGTCGATCTGAGGCGCTTTATATTTTGTTATCGTTGCCTCAACGAGTGCCGCCGGCAGCCGCCGCACGCCTCGGGACTCCTGGCGGTCTCTCCCTTGCCGTGAGGCAGAGCCTTCCCTCGCCGCTCAGTGAGAGCGGGGCAGGACTCCGCGGAGCCCTACTTGGGTTCCCCGGGAAGCCAGCTGGTGCCTTGCCCGGCTCCACGGGCTGAAGTTGCTTCGCTGATGTGCTTTTGTGGAGTTTTACTGCTCGTAAAAGTACTTGTGCCATACTCCTGAGATTTTTCCTAGTTTATATCATTGTGCTGGAACTAGTTAGGTCGAGATAGCTGCCGTAGCAGTAACTGATGCTTTTAGCTCAATTTTGTAGTGCAGAAAAATGATTTCAAGCAGAAAACTCTCAGGGATAGGACTGTGGTCCCAGCACTAACAGCTAAGGAGACTCCTATAGGAATGAAGCGCTTTGCACAGAAGCAGGTGTGAAACCGGTTTGTTAGCTCCTAGACACCGAGTCCCATCAGTAAGTAGCCTCCTTAAGCTTTCCCAAGCAAGGAAAGCATTAATGTATTTTAATGTTACATTTTAATTGCTTTAAAGTGGCTTTCTTACTGAGAGTGTTGGAGATGTTAGGGTTATGCTCTATTACAGAACTTGTTAGAGAAAAAGACCTGTTTTAAAGGGTCTGACTGTGTGAACGTAACAGCTGGAGCAGAGTGCCAGCAAGGGAAGTACGAATGTCGGAGAAATAACTTTGTGAAATGGTCTCGGAAATTTCATTGTTTTGGCCAATGGAAGTCTTCCGACATGAATACTGTCAGCCCTGCATCTTTATCAGGGCAAACCCACATTAGAAATGTATTATCAACTAGTTCATATCATTAATTTGTAGCAGATTCTGCTTGGAATATATTTTATTGGTTTACAATTTATTACAGAATCACAGAATCACAGAACGTTAGGGATTGGAAGGAACCTCAGAAGCCCATCCAGTCCAATCCCCCTGCTGGAGCAGGAACACCTAGATGAGGTTACACAGGAAGGTGTCCAGGCGGGTTTTGAATGTCTCCAGAGAAGGAGACTCCACAACCCCTCTGGGCAGCCTGGTCCAGTGCTCTGTCACCCTCACTGAGAAGAAGTTTCTTCTCAAATTGAAGTGGAACCTCCTGTGTTCCAGTTTGTGTCCATTACCCCTTGTCCTATCATTGTTTGTCACCGAGAAGAGCCTGACTCCATCCTCGTGACACTCACCCTTTAAATATTTATAAACATGAATGAGGTCTCCCCTCAGTCTCCTCTTCTGCAAACTAAAGAGCCCCAGCTCCCTCAGCCACTCCTCATAAGGGAGATGCTCCACTCCCTTAATCATCTTTGTAGCCCTACGCTGGACTCTCTCCAGCAGTTCCTGGTCCATGGCATGTGCTCAATGACAGTAACATTGGCTGCGTGACTTTGTAGCTGGTCAAGTTTTGCTTCTGTTGATAATTTTTTTGCCTCAATGCAAAATGCCTGCAACAGTGTGTTGCTGGTGTCTGCTGAAAAACACTTTCAGGTATTTGAATTGTTAGTGTGTCTGGCTCAGCGTGTACACGTGCTGCTGACTAGTGACTCCCGCAGATACAGACTTTTTTCTTGAAGTTGTAGGACCTGAATTATTGTTAAGACCCTATCCTTGTGTCATTCCAGCAAGGAACAGGAAAGCACAAGTGGTATGATTTGAATTGGCTGTGGAAATAAGACTGCACACTGGTACCCTGCCATTCTCGAGTTGGACATACCTGTTGTAAAGAGATTTGAAGCAAAATGAAATAACTTTGCATATGTTGACAGGCACTATGAGGGGACCCATAGGGGAAGTCTGGAGTGTAGTTGCTTGAAAATTTGATGGGTGAGCAGATTTAGCAGTTTGATGATGGGAGCTGTTGTGGGGTGATAAGGTGAAAACAACTGCTTAGAAAAACTGTCTTTCCAGCCAGAACTTTGATAATGATAAGGGACAGAATGCTGTGTTGGTGCTGTAAATGTGACTAAATGCTGTAAATGTGTGCACATGTGTGATACTGTTCTGCTTTGTTTTTAGTTGACCATGCTCTTGCTCGTTTAATAACTGCATATGCTGAACACGGCCACAAAGCAGCCAAAATAAACCCACTGTTTGCTGGCCAAGCTGTTATGAACATTGTACCCGAAATCCAAGAGTTGGCAGAAGTTCTTCAAGGGCCTCTCATTACTACAGGTAAGGCTGCAGCCTTATCGCAGCAAACAGTCTTCACAAGTGATTTATAAAGAGGCTGTATCCACTGCCAAAGAGCCAAATACTGGAGTGGCAGTTCAATCAGTAATGAACTGTTGGATGGAAAACTGTTAACTTCAGTCCACTTAGATGTTTGTTGCAGAAATCACCGTGTAATGAGTGGCTACCTTCTAGCATCATCTTTCGAAACTATGAAAACTTTTACTTGGTCTTACAATTGCTGAGGTTATACATTAACTTCTGGTGTTGCTGTAACATTTTATGATTTAACATAAAACCTAACGCTGTAGTGAAGCTACCAGAGCTTCCACTGGGGCAGAAGTCAAGACTTGTCTTTTCTTGGATCTCTCGTACTCTCACTGTGGCCTTGAACACAGGAGGGCCTTTTCTGTGCTTTAATTTCTCCATCTGAAAAACTGGTGCTCATTTACTTCTGATGCAGCTGGGGCTGGAGCTCATCTCTCTGAGCCGCAAGATACCAAGTGCTATACTGCATGACAAACACACTGATTTTGTTTCATTCGTGGTAAACTCTTTCAGAAAGACATTTTGAGAACCTTACAAATAAGCATGAGCTCCTCATATTAATAACACTGAAGTGTGCTTGTAAAAGAATTTACTGAGTTTTGGTTTTAAATGGAGGAGAGGAAGACAATTCATTAATTTACATGCTCAAAATATTAATCTAATTGCAATACAACAGTTTAGGTCTTAGCGCTTCCCCCTCATCCCCCAAAGTGTCTAATAACATTTATTTCTCACCAGGGCTTCTAAACATGGGGAAAGAAGAGGCTTCCCTAGAGGACGTGTTGGCTTACCTTGACCATATATACTGCGGGCATATTTCCATAGAAACAAGCCAGCTTCCAACTTTGGAGGAGAGAGAATGGTTTGCTAAAAGGTTTGAAGAGCTTAAACAAGAAGCGTTTACACCTGAAGAGAAAAAGCACTTGTGCAAACTGATGTTGGAGTCCCAGGTACCTTGTTTCCTACTATGGGACTGTAATAGAGTTGTGGTGTCTGTCATGAGCTCTTCACTGCTCCAGACGTTATTCATGCAGGAAAGGAACAATTACTCTTCTGAAAGGCTTTGACAGTGTACAAGAGGAAAATGTACAAAGTTTTGCCTGAAAAAGTGCAATACACAAGTGCAGGAGTCTCACTGGAGGTTGTCACTGAATTTACTTAGCAGCCATTGTTGAAACAACTAGGGATGCTTTCTCGTTTGCATTGATTACTTTGGAAATTATTTCTAGGAAAATATTTCCAGCCAGTTCCAAGCTCAAAAGGCTTTTAGAACAAATTAGAACATACATTGTGTGTAATGCATATTCTTATAACATATATTCTGTATCATCTGGAGACACAAATTATGACCCTGCAAATCCGTGAGTAATCAGTCTTCAGAAGTGAGATTCTCTTAGGCTCATGATCTGACAGCTTATATTAAATGATACTGAGGGAAATGCAAGGTTGGGCAGAGCTCTATGGAATTTTGTGCTCTATGGAGCTTTGTGCTCTGGTGTTCTGTGTTTTCCTTTTATCCTAATACTGATCTGGTTTAGTAGCTGTAAAGCATAATGTCTCTCAAGGTTTTGGGAGAACAAAGCAGAGTTGGACTGAGGTGTTAGCCATATAGCACTGGTAAATTTGCTGCCTTTCATCAAAGAAACCTTTGTTCAATGCATTCTGTAAGGAAGCAAAAGGTTTACGTACTTGCAAAATGTATAGAGAAAATTTATTCCAGTACTTCTGTGCTGTGAAAAGTGTCCTTCTCCCCCAGCCTTTTCTCCTTGTGTTATCCAGAAGGATGGAAAGGCAGAAGAGCAGGATCTGTGAAGTTGTCCCTGCTCCAGTTTTTCAAGTGGAAGAAGTGCAATATTTACAAATGACTAAACAGAATTCTATGGCACTTCTCATATTTTTTTGCCTCTTTGGCAGTTAAAGGAATTTGATAGTGACACAGGAGAGTGAAATCAGGACTCTGATAAACCTGCTGTTGACTTCTTACAATGTAGAACTTGACAGAAAAAAACCCACCTATTTCTGTGTGATTAGTTTTGTATACATTATTCCTTGCAACTGAATGTTGCTTAACTAGAAGATGTTCAGCAGTTGGCTTGGATCTTTGGCTGTGGCTTAATCTTCCCTTCTCAGTTACAGACTTCATTTATTTTCAGTCTTCAGTTGCAGAAGACTGCAGATTCTTGCAGTGCTTCCAAAACTTTGTCATTTGTGAGGGCTGTTTAGGAGTAGATGAATGGAGAGAAGTGGGAGGAGTGAAAGGAAAATGAAGTAAATATAGATTCATTTACTTTCCTTTTCAAGAATTCTTGTACCTATGTGCTAAGGATTAGATCTAATAGTAATCAAAATGACATGCTGTGCTTCTCTAGCGCTTTGCATCTCAGGATAGTTAGGATTTATACTGTAAAAGAACACTGTTCCTTAATTTCCACCTAAAATAAGTGAACTATCACAAAACTTGTAAACTGCTCTGGTGGTACATTTCTTCATCCATCTCCTTCTGTGTTAAATAGAGACAGTTTAGTCCTCTCTCCAGTGTTTTGCTGCTTAAGAGGAGATAAGAACTGATTTTTTGTAGCCATCGTAGCTTCTGGTCTCAGACTGTGTGGGTGGAGAATGAGCTATGACTTTCAAAGGGTATGTGTAGGTCTGTATGCCTTAAAGGTACAAATATAAACTACATTTCAATTTTAAAAACAGAAGACTGCTGCTTAAAATAACCTAATACTGAAGTTCTCCTGTTTTTAACAGGAGTTTGATCGATTCTTAGCTACGAAGTTTGCCACAGTGAAGCGGTACGGTGGTGAAGGAGCAGAGAGCATGATGGGTTTCTTCCATGAGTTGTTCAAGATGTGTGCGTACAGCGGTGTGACAGATATCGTCGTTGGAATGCCTCATCGTGGGAGACTTAATCTTCTCACGGGTTTACTTCAGCTTCCACCTGAGGTGAGAGACTTCAAATCTTATTGAGAGTTGCTCTGTGCCTAATGTATTTGCAATGCAACACAACAAACTTCTCGTTTTTTATTTCAAATGCTGAAGCAATAAAAAAATTACCTGTGTGAGAGCGTATTCCCCTTCTGTCAGCACCCCTGCCAGATTTTCGCAGGAGACTGTTAGAGAACTCTGTGGAAGGGGTTTATGTGCTGTTACCTGAAGCATCTGTGCACTTCCAGGAGTAGGAGAGCATACAGTTCTGTGAATGTTGTTCTTCCCATGTGTTAATGAATTGTAAAGGGGATTTAACCAAGTTTGTTTCCATGCAGCTCATGTTCCGTAAGATGCGTGGTTTGAGTGAGTTTCCAGAGAATTCAGCAGCCATTGGGGATGTTCTCTCCCATCTGACATCTTCTGTGGATCTCGACTTTGGTTCACACAGGCCTGTGCACGTCACCTTGCTCCCTAACCCCTCACACTTAGAAGCAATCAATCCTGTGGCCGTGGGCAAGACACGGGGAAGGCAACAGACTCTGCTTGATGGAGATTACTCTCCAGAGAGCTCTGCACAGCCTGGAGACAAAGTTATTTGCCTACAGGTATGTTATTCACATTTTCTAACTGAACTTTGAAGACTTCCTGGACTAGAATGTGAACAGAAGTGGTACTACGTGTGCTTTTCCTCAAAGACCACTTTTGCATTTAAACTACCACTGTTAGCCTTCTTTTAAACTAAGTGGGTTTGGAGATGAGCTATCAATGAGGTTGCAAAATATGGAGGAGGATTTAGAATTGTGTTGTTTTATATTGAGGAGTCTGCTGGAATTGTTTTTTCTTCCTCAAACTGTGTTTTATAGCTGTGGAGGCAGTCCTAAATAGTTCCTTGACAATTTTTCTTTTTTTTTGCATTGTATTCAACTTGGAAATACAAGTGAGTCAATCTCTTAAACATTTTTAAAGCTAGGAGTAAAAACGAGTTGGGGCAGAACTGTTCTCCCGTGAAGTATAATAAACATGGAGGAAGTTACATGTAGAAGTGATAACGTATTTCAGTTAAATGTTTTGCTTCCTTCTAGAAGGATGTGAACACTGAGAAAAAGCAGCAAGGAGAATATGAAATATTAAGAAAATTGGAGACAAGTTGGTGTTCTTGTTGTTCATTTTTTAAAATAAACAAACAAAAAAAGGCTTTGGGGCACGCAAGTGCAGGGACAAAAGTTTGTCACCTGATGTGTCTACTCATCACCTTGCAGTGCAGTTATGTCAGTTTGATAAGATACTATTGCTTCTTAGAGTCTGCCTGTCTCATAATGTTATGTCTTCACGGTGTAGTACTGAAACTACTATGACTCATTAAACAAAGATTCTTCAGGCTAAATGGACCCTTGCTATGCAGGAAAAATGTCACCTTTTTTTTTTTACGGGGTAAGTGATAGGGTTGCATGGTAGAGACAAACAACATTGAACTCTGAGGTAGCCACCTCCCTGTTAGTAAACTGAATCAAAGTACTGCCAAAAGAAAGAAAATGTTTCCTGTAACATGAACATCAGGACTTGTGATTGTATCTTTAAGAGGTCCAAGAGTTAGATTTAAAAAAAAAGCCATATTTCTACAGCTGTGACTGTTAACTGCTCTTGTTCAGCAAATTGAGAAGAAACAGATGAAAGCAGACACCTCCTCTTTCAGGATCTTGTTTTGGATGTTTCTCTTTGGGTTTTTTGTTTTCATAGTGTTTTCTCTCCAGAAATGTAAGTGTAGAAGCTCTGAATTGAGGTTTTATCTGGCATTTGTTCTGTTCTTCCACTGCCCTGAGTGCCAGAGCTTGAGGGTAAAAGAGTAAAGAGCAGCTGAGGTGCCAGTGTCAGTGGTGAGCCTGGCTGTCCAAGAGCTGAAGATCTTATTTTCTGGAACTTCAGTGTGCTCGGAGGATATGAAAACTATGAAACTCTTCTTGATTAAATACTGCGGACTCTTCTGCAATGTTTAATTGTCCGTCTCTGCTGAAGAGTGGCTTATTTTTCACCTTCTCGCATACCTTAACTCCACTTTGTAGACATCAAGCAACTACTGGTGTTTATGATTTGAGCTGAAACCTGAGAGTAAGGTCTCCCTGAAATAAATTTCACAGTTGATATTCCACTGTCAGGGTCACTGTTCAATGAATTAAACTTGATGGTGGCTTTGCTTTTGTGTTCTGTTTGAATTCTGCTGAGAAAACACATGTGCTAGCAAAAACCATTTCCAGCTTTCTGCTAGAATGAGTAAAACCCTACCTGCACCACAGGAATTGAATTCTCTGGGGTTTGAGATGCATATGAGAAGTATTGTGTGGTTGGGTAGTCTTTGGTGTTATAGGCTTTAATGCTTTGGGATGTACTAGAGGCCTAAAGTTTCTAAGGAAGTTCTGGGGTCTTCACTCAAACGTGTCACCGAGATACATAGGCTTTCTTCAGAAGGAACCAGAAGGGAACAGTAAAAACCCAATACTTCAGGAACAAGTGCAGCATGATAGGAGGTAGAGTGGGGATGCTGTGTTGGCTCTCTCTTGGAGTAGTTCACTTTGTTTTTCTGTGGTGCCTTTTCAAAGAAGTGTCTGTCTTAGAACTGTATAAAACCCAGTGCTGCATTTCACTGGTTGATTACACTTCTACGCCCTTTCAGATGTACTCTCATGTACACAAGTCTCTTGAGGCTTGAAACCATTATCCCATAACGAGAAAACAGAACTGCCGTTGTGTTTTAATAAGAAACTACATCAGTCTGTGCAGTGGCTTTGATCTGCAAAGGATCAGATCTACATTCTGAGGCAGCTGTGATCAGATCCATCAATGGAGAACTCTCTCTAGTTTTAAAACACTGCAATGCTAGATGATACTTATTCTAGTATCTTGGCCTTTTTGGAAACCTGCGTTGAATGCCACAGTAGCTTCCCCTCCCCTTCTAAACGATTTTTTTTGGCGACATTTATTTGCAGTTTTGAATGGTAACTAAGAACTCAGGGTTTATTTCCTTCCAAAAGCTTTTTTTTGCTTTTATATAATTCCATCCAGTTCCTCTTCTACTTTTTTCTTTCCTATCATGTCTGTTTTTGTCTCTATTTGGTAAGGTGGCAGTGGGCATGAATCCCAGTTCACCCGCATTTTAACTTTCAGCAAAGCGTGTAATGAATACCATGGTGATTGGCTTCCTGCTGTGCAGTGGTCAGTGACTTGCTGCTGACTGCTGCAGCTTTGCTGTAGCCATGGCACTTGCAGGTCACTTTTAAGAGATTATAGGTCAATTCCAGGTAGGGTTCACATCAGGCAGCTGTGTGCAGATGTTGGCTGCTGTGACCTTGTGTTAGTGACTATAACTCTCAAATCATGAAAACAGTAGCCTGAAAGGGGTTAATAAGTGGATCCAGCTGAAACTGTATCTGTTTTACCTACTCACTTTAAAAGGTTTTGCTTTAAGACCTTAATGAGTTAAGGGTTTGATTTTTGCTGTTTCTCCAGTGTTTTCTAATGTGACTTTTCCATCTTCTTCTCTAATGTAGGTTCATGGCGATGCTGCTTTCTCTGGGCAAGGGATTGTTCCTGAAACACTGACCCTCTCTAATCTACCACATTTCAGAGTTGGTGGGAGCATCCATTTGATTGTAAATAACCAGCTGGGCTACACCACTCCTCCAGAGCGAGGAAGATCATCTCTGTACTGCAGTGATATTGGTACGTATTGCTGAATCAGAAGGAAGATTGCCTGTTGTGTCAAAAAAGATTTTTAACTCCAGTGTGAATATATTGTACTCTATGAGCTTTTTATAGCAAGTACCTATCAGCTCCAGGGAGTTAGATTAATATATCTCCGTTTTCATGACAGAGTAGAAATTAAAGTTATTATTGATTATTATCTCCTACTAGTTAAAATTCAGATGCTAAAAATATGCTCTCCCCCACCTGCTTAATGGCAAAGACTAAATATCAAGGGAAAATCCTGTCACATTTTTACAGGATGTTTTAAAATATTTGCGGGATTACTGTGAAGTCTTTATAACTATATTAATTTCTACCATGTTATTTGACAGCTTTTTAAAATGTATTGTGATAGAGTGTGTAGTATAGTAGATTTATTTTTAAATACATCTTAAGTTTAATCAAAATAATTCCAGTGGGTTTTCTGAGTAAGATTTATAAATTGAATATTCCTTCATTTTTCTCTTTTGTTTGTTCTCAGGTGAACTTGTTGAGCTTTTATTTAAAAGATATGAGGCTCATGTCATTTCTAAGCTTAAACTAGAAGGCTTTTGTTTTGGACCGATTTGTCTTATTTATCAGTCATAAGCAGATGTATTCTAATCTGCAAGATCAGAGATGTAGTAGTTAGTTACCTTGTTTGTATATGTCTCCTAGATTTAAAAATACACTAATGCATGTTTTTAAGACTTTAACATCAAGTGTTTGTGTTTGTCTTACAGTTTCATCAAACCAAACAGGTAGATTCATTAAATCTGATAAAGTAGATAGCATATGTTATCATTACTTTTTCCCTGTAATGATTTTCTGTTGTTTTGGGGTTTTGTTGTTGGTATTTTCTTTGTTTGTTTGTCTCCTCCATCCTTAGTTTTCCTGTCTTCTTACCTCTTCAGTGGAGGGCAGGGGTTAGTCATTTGAGCTTCATGACTTTGCTAGGGAGGGAAACTTGATGTGGACCGGGAATGGCTGACGTATCTTAATTTCCCAGGGTCTGGGCAGATAAAGTACAAGAGAAGCACTCTGTTGCTAGGAAGATTTGCAGCCAAATTGTCACACAGGAGAGAGTGTTAAGATGTTTGAATTTTGCAGTGTTCACTTTAATGAAGAGACCTTTCTGGCTGAAGGAGCAGTGGGCAGAATGACTACTAACATGGGAGAAGATTGTTTCTGGCTTGTATTAATTAATAGGACTGATAGCTCAGGATAAAAAGGAAATAAAACTCAGGTTTTGTTTGAAAAAGAAGCAATCATAGTTCGTTCTCATTCCTCAAAGACTTCCATGCAGGTTAATAAGATGTAGGAGCTGTGTACGGGAAGTCCTCTGGGAATTTACTGCTGGTAAAGAAATTGTGCTCAAACTGTGACAAATACAACCGGTTGGGGTCATTGCACTTTCTCTCAGGGAAGACTCCTGCTCCTTACCCCAGCTTTTATCACAGGGAACATCTTTTTTAGATTTGTTTTTTTAAAATACCTTCCACATGAGTTGTCTGTAGTTTTTGGCAGAGTAGGTGTGTCCCTGCTTTCTTTGGAAGGGACTGGGTGTGACTGCTGTTGTTACGTTTTGAACCCCTGGGCAGGTAAAATTGTTGGATGTGCAGTTATCCACGTGAATGGGGATGATCCTGAAGAAGTTGTCCGTGCCACACGTCTGGCTGTCGAGTACCAACGCCAGTTCCGCAGGGATGTAATAGTAGACTTGCTGTGCTACAGACAGTGGGGCCACAATGAACTCGATGAGCCGTTCTTCACCAACCCCAGCATGTACAAAATCATCAGGTAAGGGTAACACCTGCTGATGGGGAAACCCCAAAATACCTGTCTACACCAATTCAGTATTGCCTGTTGCTGTGTAATGAAGACTGTTGCAGTACCAACGAGTCTATATAAACATAGCTGCACTGTCAGCAGCCCTTGACTAAGGTGTCAGTTTAAGAATGACGTGGTAATGAAGGTAGCCACTGGTGTTGGTTCTTGAATATGCGGCTTGATGCCTCTTGGAGGACGATCTTGCACACAGCCCTTGGATTTCAAATTAATGATCGTTAATAATCACAAGGCAAAAGTTGTGTTCTGTGTGCTAGAGGGAAGAGTAGATAGCGTGGGAGAAGCAGGAAGCCAGTATGATGTCTGTCCTTGTCTTTGCCTGGTCCTGCTGGTTCCCATGGGGACTCATCTTTATGAGCACTTAAATGTGCTTGGATTCCATCCTTTTCCCAAAGAAAAATGCACATAAAAATTTACTGGCTAATGAATTCTGGTATTTTAGGTGAAACATTTATGGAATGGATGGCTTGATTCTCAGCTAACACTGAAATCTTGCTAGTGATTTGAAAAAAATACGTGTGATAGCACAGTCTCACTGGGAGCTTATTTTAACGTGCTTTTACCTGTGAATGCCAACTACAGGCATTTTGTTTTTTAAATAAAGGACTATAAAGCACGTATCCAAGAGAATCATTATTTCTTTGGAAATGCCAGGAGAGCAAAACTGATGCAAATAAGTGTAATGCACCAGGACATAATTTACTTTAGTTTTGCATGGTAGCTGACAGCAGTAAGGTGGTACTTCCTTATTCTGCAGTGACGTTGTTTTCAGGCTTAATGTCTATGGGGTTTGATTCCCTCCCTGACAGATCCCGTAAGAGTATCCCAGACACATATGCAGAACACCTAATAGCTGCTGGGCTCATGACCGAGGCTGAAGTAGCTGAGATAAAGACGACATATTATTCTAAACTGAATGATCATCTTGCCAACATGACTTTGTATAGTCCACCTCCAACCAACCTGCAGGCTCACTGGAAAGGCTTCGTCGAGCCTTCTGCTAAAATCACCACTTGGGACACAGGTATGCCCGTACCACTTCTGCAGTATATTGGAGTCAAGTCTGTAGAGGTGCCTGAAGAACTCCAGATGCACAGCCATCTTCTGAAGACCTATGCACAGGTCAGTAGAGCGTAATGATGCTTCTAGTCACATTGCTCAAAGGTTTGACGTATTACAGCGAAAGCTCTAAATGCAGCGAGGCTGCCAGTTAGAGAATAGCATAGTATTCTCTAGGAAAACAGCTCACTCTTTTTTTTTGAGGCTGGGATTATGCCATTTTTCCTCCAATTTTGAAGAAAGACATATCCTCTCTCCCAAATCTTACTTATATTTAATTTTATTATTTCAACAATACTTTGTTATGATGAAGAACAAAGTTTATAGAAGATACATTTTGTTATTCTTACAAATAAAAGAAACTATTATCATCAATTACTATATACTTTATATACATTGATTATAATGACGACTACTTTGTGACAGAATGAATCAGGAGCTTGGTAATAGTGTACACAGTTTCTAAAGCCAGTAGTGAGTGTTAATATTTTATATATAAACATATGCATACACATGTGGCCAGGTTTGAAAGTCACTGTGTTTGATACCTCATAAACGTGTACGCTCATAAATTTGGATTGGTTTGGGTTTGTGAACACTTCCCTTTGATAAATGATGACCATGTGTGGGTGTCTTGATGGCAGCCAGAGAGGCCATGAGTTGAGTATTTCAGAAGGCTGATGTCCTTGTCTTCCCATCCCAAAGCAAGAACACCACAGCTGGGTATGATCACTTGTCTGCACTTCTGCAGGCCCAAAAGGGAGTGTGGGGGTAGAGTTCTGGAGACTGAAATACTTCCACCTGGTCTCTTTCATCACTGCTAACCAGCTCAGAAGTCTGTCAAAAGCGTGCTCTGTGTTGTGCTAAGATTTTTAATATTTTCAGACTAAGATCTAATTTGTCAGTCCACTGCTTGACTGGTAAGTGAACACATGGGTCATCCGTAATTCTGTGGCCCTCAGAGCAACCTTCTTTGGGATGTACTGAAGTAAGACTGTGTGTATTCGAAACCAACCTAAGCTGGCTGCAGAATTACAACATTTCTCTAGTGTTTTGGTTTTTTTCCTAGCTTCTAATATTGATCTGTGCCCACCAAAAGAGCTACAGATGGAAAAAGGCAAAATAGTAACTTTTCCTTGTTGTTTATTTCTTTAGTCAAGAGTTCAAAAAATGGAGGAAGGAAAGAAGCTGGACTGGGCAACAGCCGAAACTTTAGCATTTGGCTCCCTCCTGAGCCAAGGTAAGAGGCAACTAGACAGCAGACAATAAAATATATTTGCTTTGATGGCAATAAATTATACCATTAGACTTTTTAAGTGTTTCTAAGTCCAAAGAATATGTGATGTATAAATTTGTCAATTTGCATGGTAATAAGGGAAGGTAAATACGAGTTCTGCATGTCACTAATATTTGCAGACGGGGTACTAAATGTCTTCGAAGAACTGTTGCTCCCTCACACCCCCCAAAAAAGCTGGTGCTTAGTGTTAAGCACGTGAGCACTGGAGCTGACATATATATAGTGGGGCCTCCTATACACTTATGCTTTAGAGTGTGTTTCATGCTAAGATTTCTTTTTCCTCCTCTCTAGTCTGATTTCATACTTTCAGTTATATATGATACAGGATGAAATTGATTTAAGGTTTGCTCAGTAAATTGAACCACTTACAACAAAATAATTCTTGGCCGCAGAGAGGAGAAAAGAGAAATGCCTGAGCATCTCTCAGATGTGTTTATGTGAGTTGGAGCTGCTGCTGCTGGTTAAGAATTTCATCTCAGATTTGACGTTGCTGATGAGGGGAAATCCAAGAAGAGACTTAACAAGAAAAGTAATATTTTAGAAGTGAGGACTTGTTGTCTTGTGTGTTTTCTTCTTACGTGACTTGTTAATCTGGTGTTTTCTTTATTGCTTGGCAAGGGTTTAATATCAGGCTAAGTGGGCAAGATGTTGGCAGAGGAACCTTTAGCCAACGACACGCGATGTTGGTTTGCCAGGAGACAGATGATACCTACATTCCTCTGAATCATATGTCCCCAGACCAGAAGGGTTTCCTAGAGGTAAGTTCTGTGGTCCACAAGACAACATCCTTCAAGTTGTGCTGAAACTGAATGCGTATTTTAAAGCTGCTGAGACACACGTAGGTAGCCTGTATATTCTGGCAAACCCCAGCTACAGAGACATAAAAACTGCCAGAGCACCCCCATTCTTTGTAGTTACCCTCTTTACGAATTTAACGAGGGGCTTTGCTTTTCCTCGAGAGATCAGATGTTGTTCTTTTTGCCTCAGCGTCTTCATTCACAAGCAAAAAAAGATGTGACCATCAATTGCCCTTAGGAGTGCGTGTCCTCAGTGTGCCTAGCACTGATGTGTCTGGTTCCAAAGGTTCTTAACCTTGGGTTGTCTTCTTCCTCACCCACCCCTCCCAACAATTTCCTTTTGTTAGGTGAGTAACAGTCCCTTGTCTGAAGAAGCTGTACTTGGTTTTGAATATGGAATGAGTATTGAGAGCCCAAAGTTACTGCCAATTTGGGAAGCTCAATTTGGAGACTTCTTTAATGGAGCCCAGATAATATTTGACACTTTCATCTCTGGAGGTGAGTGTACAAGGAGCTAATATATTTAAAAATCAATAATTTGTACTAAGTGCATTTTTAGAAAATCCTTCATCTTTAAAGGGCAACATTTTGAGAAAAGAGTTCTGTTTTCTCAAGAAGTCTTGTGAGCTTGCTTGTGTGGTCCTGACTGCTCAGCAGCTTTTTATTGAAGACAATCCATCTAAAATGCAAGATGCCCCATTCTTGGCAGAAGACAGTCCTTCCAAAAGGACAGCTTATTTTATTAATGGCCTTTCTTTCCCCCTCCATTTATTTTACCATGTGTACATATAGTTGATAGCTTTTTAGGCTGTACCTTTTTTTTATGAGTCATCTGAAAAATTCCTGAAGCAATACAGAAGGAAAATAGTGCTTATTTGAAACAAAGTAAAAAAAAAACCCCACAGCAATGCCTTACAACCAACCTCTCAGTTTGACTCTAGCATATTTTCCAAGTGCTCAAATATTGCAAAATGACCTCTCTCAGCTGGAACATGCAGAGAAAATGCTAAGATGGATTTCTAGGGTAGTATTTCTTGTATGTAAGCATTCAGAATTTTGGCATCTGGCCTCAGTTAGGCTTTTGCACGCCATGAGTTATCCTCTGGATTTGACAGTAATCGCTTAAATAGGGCGGGAGTTTTGATGGAGCCCAGGGGAACTGGCCTGTGGCTCGCACTGCTGTGTTGGATAGGACTGGCTCAGTGGGTGCTGCCTGGGTCAGACCTGCAGAGGACCAAATGACAAGGTATGCAGGAAACAGCAGTGAATTATGATTAGGGATTTTCTTATGGAGAGTTTGAGGACCCATTAGTCAGGAGGACAATTCCATTAAGAGGATTCTTGCATACTGTGGAGACATTTTAGACCAAGTTTTAAATCTTCACTGTTTCATGTACTCCACATGGAGGCTTAAGTCTTCTGGAAGCCTGAAGTTACATGATAATTTCAGAAACTTCTGATCATCTTGTGTCTGCTATTTCACTGTTGTGAATCTCATGGCAAAATGCCAGCAGCATGTTTCAGAATGATGTGGAAATTATCTGTTGTTTATTCCTGAGTAGTTTGGGGAAAGTAATACATGTTTTGAGGCTTTATGTTCTGTGGAAATCATTCTTTCCTTCCTCCTCATTGTGTGTTTTTAGGTGAGGCCAAATGGCTTCTGCAGAGTGGGATAGTAATTCTTCTTCCCCACGGCTATGATGGTGCAGGCCCCGAGCACTCATCCTGCCGAATGGAACGGTTCTTACAGGTACCCCGCCACACCTCTTGGATTCACATACCCCCCATCACAGCACCCACAACCAATGCTCTGGGAGTCTTGCTGCAAAATGCCACATTCCTGGTGTCCCTGCTAGTGACAGTGGAAGCTGGAGACTTACCAGGATCATAGCATCGTGATGAGATAGGAATAGGCTGGCCTGTAAGTGAAGGAAGAAAGGGAACTGATGAGAGGTGTAGGTGTGGAAGTGGTGAGAAGGAAGCAGTTTTGGTTTAAATGCTGCCGCAACTTCTCTGGTGCAAGACTCTGATTGAACCTTGTAATAAATGCTTGCTGTTCCTGTTGCATCTCTGTCACCTGCCCAAGTGGGTGGTGGTAACATGAAATTTCCTAATATGAGATCCACATAGTGCCTGCAGAGGCCCTGTGCCCTCTGCAAACAGCTCTGCTAGGACATATTTCAGTACTGCCTGCTGTCTTTTTTCTGATTGCTGCTCCTCAGCAGTGCCGCTGTACCACAGGATGAGTCCAGCGCACGACAGAATTGCTGAATTGCAAATAGCAGACCTCTAATGAGGTTTACCAGTTAAATGCTAAAGCCATTTTGTCTCTGAAATTCTTCTTCCCTTGCAATGAATGTCTGAATTGGTACATTTGCTTTCTTATTCTTGTATTAGTCTGTGTGTCTTATGTGCCTGGATCCTCTTTTGCTTCTTGACAAGGTATTGCTGTGTTCCCCTTACGTAGATGTGTGACAGCTCAGAGGAGGGAGTTGATGGGGACCAGGTCAACATGTCAGTCGTGCATCCCACCACCCCAGCACAGTATTTCCATTTACTCCGGCGGCAAATGGTCCGAAACTTCAGGAAACCTCTAATTGTTGTTTCTCCCAAAGTGTTACTCAGGCTCCCTGTAAGTTGAGAACTATTCAAATTTTTCTTTTTTTTCCCTCCTCTTCTTCCTCCTCTTCTGTGTTCTCTTCCCCTTTCTCTTTGTTCTTCCTCTGAGTTCTATGATCTCTGTTTTGGGGTCAAATTGATGGGGTTTTACCTTTTTGGGGCTGAATAGGTTGAGGATTAGAGCTGGGTGGAGGTGAGCCAGAAGTAGAGTTGATTCTAGGTCTCGTGGTGGTCTTGGAAATCTTATCATCTGACCTTTTATCAGTGGGAATGGGAATGGGAATAGGAGGGAGAGGGAAGACTGCATCTTTTGTATTTACCAAACCCCTGTCTTGGTGTCCTCTCCCCAACTCTGGCCTGAGGAAAAAGGCAGCAATATTTGGTAACTTCCAGCTCTTTCCCCATATAGGCTGCTGTATCAAGTTTTGAAGAAATGGCCCCAAGGACAACATTCAAGCCTGTCATTGGTGACTCCTCAGTAGATCCTAAAAGGTAGCTCTACTTTCTTAGAGGAAAAGCTCAGATAGGATGTCCTGTCCTTTTCTCCTAACAGCTCAATTTTGAGGTGATACAAAAGAGGTGACTTTGGGGGGCAAATGTTGTTTCGTGGTGTTTTACATGTTTCACTTAGTTTTACGTGTTTGTCTCCTTTTCTTCTGCGTACTTGGTGCTGGTTATATCTGTCTGCATTGCAGTAACAGGTTCTGGCTTTCAGCACTTGCCCCCACAGGGAGGTTGTGACTGTGGTTACTGATCTGATGGGCACTTTACTGTGCCATGCACGTTAACTGACAGTCACTGGCAGCAGCTGGTACATGAAGAGATGCACAATTTTTGATCTGGTGGTGTAACAGCTGAGCTCATGAAGTGAAGTTAGGGCAATAATAAATTGTGTGCATGTATCTCCCTCCATGCAGATATTACAGAGAATCTTGTTCACAATGGGAAATTCTGGCCTTCAGTTTTTTCCGTCCTAAGGTTCTTATCTGGTCCTTGTACCAATAGTACCAAAGTCTGACAGCATTCCTCACCCACAGTCAAAAGGCTGGAAGTATCTTAAGACAGGCTGAGACAGTTGGGGCTGTTCAGCCTGGAGAAGAGAAGGCTCTGGGGAGACCTTATAGCAGCCTTCCAGTACCTGAAGGTACAGGAAAGCTGGGGAGGGACTTTTTACCAGGGCGCGTGTAGTGACAGAATGAGCGATAATGGTTTTAAACTCGAAGAGGGTAGGTTTAGATTAGATATAAGGGAGAAATTCTTCACTGTGACGGTGGTGAGACACTGGCACAGGTTGCCCAGGGAAGTTGTGGATGCCCCCTCCCTGGAAGTGTTCAAGGCCAGGTTGGACGCGGCTTTGAGCAACCTGGGCTGGTGGGAGGTAATGGGACCATGGCAACCCCCATGGCAGGGGTTGGACTGGATGAGCTTTAAGGTCACTTCCAACCCAAACCATTCTATGATCTTAGTATCTTGGGTTTTTAAGTGGGATGATGAGGCACAAAGGGTGAGCTATCTCTCCTTGCCCTTGTCCAGTAAGGTTAGGCAGCCAAGACCTCTGTGATTGCCAGAGGGCGTTGTGTATCTCCAGCAGGCAGTTCCTCTTTTGTGTGGGACAGAATTGTCTTCTGGAGGTAATTCTCTCCATCTCTGGTTTATTCTCTATAGAGAGTGCATAGATGACTAGCTTTGACTGGGTGTTTAGTTTTTAGATCGTTAAAGCTAAGAGAGATGAGTCCCATTGTAAGGCAACTTTCTGAGGATTATTAAAGAAACAGGACCTCTGGGCTCTGGCATACTGTGCCCAAAGGTTAGTTTGCCCTTTGTTGGAGGGGAGTGGGAGGGAAGGAAGGCAAAGAAGGTCTGTGGTAGCCATTTAGCCTCTAAATTTGTCTTTAAAATTTGGCTGGTTGTTTTCATTGAAAGTGTGAAGCTGTTGTGCACAGAGTCTCTGTAAAACGCTAAACTTGGAAACATTCTTATTTTCCTTTAGTGTCACCCAAGTGGTGCTCTGTTCTGGTAAGCATTACTATGCTTTGGTGAAGCAAAGAGAGACACTAGGAGAGAAACAGCACAACACAGCTGTTCTGAGACTTGAAGAATTATGTCCTTTTCCCCTGGAAGCTCTACAGCAAGAGCTGAGCAAATACAGCCATGCAAAAGGTCAGCCAGATTTTTTACCTTTGTGTTTCTAGACTCTTGGAAATGCTGAACTAAATCTGTTGCCTGCCTTTTAGGATGAAGACTTGTAGTGGCTTTTTCCTCTTTGCTCTTTGCCCCCATACATCTAGTGTTTCTGGAGTGGGATAATTGAAATGTTTACCACTTATGCTAAAAGAACTTATCTGCTATTGTTAGCTTCCATAAAGCACTACTAAAAACCAAAGTGAACCATATGGGGCATTTTTTGCGTTGGTCTTTATAGTCCATTCCTTTCAGTAGCTTTTGAAAACGGCAGTAGAGAAGCAGAATATACCCACAGTATACCCTAATTGTGGATGTAGTTTTGGTTTGGCTTCAGCAAGCTGTGACCTGCAAGGGAGTTCAGTCTGGCAAGACTTCATTTCAAAGGTAGTGCCAAGACAAAAAAGGCAGAGGTGCAACAAAAGAAAAAAACCCTTTTTTTCTTGAGCTGCTGAAAAGATAAATATGTGCATTTGTAATGTACACTTATCCTTCTATCCCTCCTTTAGTCTTTATCTGGAGTCAGGAAGAACCACAGAACATGGGTCCCTGGTCCTTTGTGTCACCACGCTTTGAAAAGCAGCTGGGGCTTAAGGTAAGATGTCCTCATGGTGTTTTAGTCTTTAAAATGAAGTTTTAAGTTCTCCTTGAATGCAAAATTCTGTGGTACTTACACAAAAAAAGCCAACAAACTAATCCTGATGCTTAAACCAAATGTGTGTTCTGATTTGAGCTACTTGTACTCTTTATAGCACCATTTAGTGGTGATGAGCAGGACTGGAGCTTTCTTTTACCTGGTGTTTAGTCTAAGTAGAGTGGATGATGGAAGATCCCAGGTAAGAAACAACATGCTTGAAGTGAGTAGGAGGGGAGTCCAAAGCTGCCGTTGGCTCTGGCAAATCGTGCACTGTGATGTTCTTGGAGCCATGGTCTTTGGGAGATGGAGGATAACTTCCTGCGTTACTTCCAGCTGGGACTGCCCAGTATCTGACAGTAGATATCACTATGGCATTACAGGACCTCAGAGTGCAATCCTATGCTTGTGCTTCATTAATCATTTCCTCCTGACTCAAATTTCAGCTCCGTCTTGTGAGTAGACCTCCTTTACCAGCTCCAGCAGTCGGCATTGGAACCCTACACCACCAGCAGCAGGAAGACATTCTTACCAACACGTTTGTCTAAGTTTTCAGCAGACTGACTTCTCCTGCTGTCAGTCATGTTTGGTGCCTCCTCCTGTGAAGAACAAAAGCCAGACCCTTAAGACTCTTAGTTCTCCAAAAATGAATGGAGCAAGTTCTATAATGATGAAGCCATTTTTTCACCTAGGAGAATACCTAAATGAGAGGTGATGCTTGTTACTCTAATACTTCTTGTTCCCTTGCAGTATTTTCAACAAAACATCTTTATAAAGTTTAAAAAAAAATCCAGTCCAGGGGTGGATTGGTGAGGTGGCTGTAAAATACTGTGTATCACATTGCTTGTCTGCACTTGGCAGTTCCCTGGAATGGTGGACATGTGGAAAGACACGCTGTTTGGTTGAATAAATGCTTCCCTGTGACTGGGAATGAGCCATTTCTATAGCAGAGTATTGTGGATTTTCTAATTTCATTCCCTGTGGGCCAGGAATGAAAGCTGTTGGTGCTCTTCTCAACACATGAGTTGTTAAAGCAGGATTCCTAGGGGGAATGTTGCAGGATGGCTCCTGATGGCTTCAGGCACCACTGCCTCTCTCACCTGGAGAAGTAGCGCTTTCACATTGAGCTTGCAGCGTGGAAGGCGTGCTGCAGGGACCATGCCATATTTTAGAACTATGCTTTGTAGCCAAGCCAGTTTCTAGAGGCTCAACTGAAGAGTGACACTGCCTCCTACCTGGGAAATTCTTCTCAGTGTCCTTCCTCTGGTTTGTTGTTTGGTTTTGTGTTGTTTTAACCCCAGGATTGTACCGTTAGATTGGTCCATTGGTCCAAGGATTCTTGCCCTGGTTCCTGGGCAGTAAACTCCTCTAGGTTGAAAATGCCTTTCCTCAGGATGGCTGGAGTTCTGCCTGCCTTTTCCTTCTGTTTTTAACCATGAATATTTTCCAATAACAGCAGCTGTTCTTTCACAGGAACATGTTTACATTTTGTTTGGATATAATACTAGGGGTGTATATTACATTGTTAGTTCCCAAAGAGGCACTTATGTCGTGCATGGTACTTTTTGTGCAATTTATCTCCTGCTGCTCTGCTCACAAAGAACCCCTGTGTGGATAACTAGAAAAAGGAGGCTGAAGAGTAACATTGCTTTGGCTGCAACTGTAGCTAAGGAAGTTGTAGAGCACAATCATCAGCCTTGACTCCAAACTGATTACATAGTGAAAAAATGCGGGTTTATGACAATACACACAAGGGAACAACAGACCCAGTATGTTGAGTTTCATGTGGCCTGACCCTCACCGCGCTGTGCATCACTCACACAGGCTGTGCGCAGGTTTGGTTATCTAACCAAGGAAAGGGTGCTCAAGAGTTTGGAGCCTGTTTTATCCTCCTGGCAGAAGATACTGCTATTTCTGTAGTGCTGTTTCCCAGAGGCCCCCAAGGGATGCTCCTTTGTTTTGCTGATGCAAAATGCCTTCAGAACAGCGCTCTCCCATGATGGCGAAAACTACCAGGAGGAGCACAAAGTACTCACTGAGTTAGGGGTTAATGCCATGTTGTGGTTTATACAGTTGCTCTGTTACCCGATGCTTCCTCCTCACCTGGGGAGGGGTGTTGGGAAAAAGAAAGGAGAGTCGTGATTTCAAATAGAAAATATTTAACAAAATCATAACAATAAAAACTAGTAACAGTTAGAATACAAAATACACAGTTATACTCAGCCAGTATGGTGGGGAAATAGGCCTCAGGGGTAGGATGGTAGAGAAGTTCCTCTCGAGATGTCAGCTGTGGAAGACGGAAAATGGGCCGTCCTCAGCGAAGTCCCCAATTTATAGTGAATATGATGTTTATAGTATGAATAGTATTACTTGATCAGCTTAGGGTCAGCTCCCCAAGGTTTTCACTGCTCCCAGCCTCTGCACCTGTTTGTCTCAAGACTGCCAAAGACTTTGAGCATCACATACCAACACTAGCTGAAACCTGTGAAATAGAGTGCTGTAGTCCTTACAAAATCACAGGTTTTCTCAATAGAAAACTTACTGTAAAATTCTGTCCCAGTAAAGCAGGACATGCCATTTCTTCCACCAATTTTAGTTGCACTGCACTCAGACTTGGCTCTTCCTGCATGAGTGCTGGGTTGCTTTTACAAAAAAAGCATTTTGGAAAAGATAAGCAGAAATTGGGAAAGCCCGAGATGAAGGTACTGCTCAAAAACTTTATTCAGGGAAGTGCCAGATGATATACAAGTTGGACGAGTGGGTAACGGACCAGGTCCCAGTCCTTGGACAGGAGAATTTTGGGGTCATTAAAACATGCAGAAGTGAAGCTTTATGTGCTCTTAGATAGCCAAACAGCTAGCTGGAAAAGGGAAGTGTTACAGCACTTGTGCACTGTGGTGTGTGGGATGAGATGCAGAGGTAACGACTTACAGATAGGAAGGTCTGCTGTGAGCAAGTGAACTTTAAAGATAAAAATGGCTAAGTATCTCAACAAAGGGTAATTACAAGAAACTTCCTGAAGTTTAGCTATTAACCTAGCTATTCATTTGTAGATTATAATCTACATGTAAAATGCTAGGCTAATTAATTATGGACATTTGTCAGATGGTTCAGGAAACTATAGGTGAAAGTAAATGCCACATGGTAACTAATTAGTATTTGTAAAATTATGACTATATAAAATTTCAGATGAGGGAGGCTATTGAACAGAATTCTTTAATGATACTGTAGCAAGGTCTTGGTTAAGAGGATTTCTTCTCAGGGAATGCAGAACGAAGTCCAATATATAGATTCAAGGTTGAGGAGGACCCCTAATCCTTCATGTCTCATGTTCTTTCTTGGTAACTTAGCCTAAAATAGGAAGAATACAAGCCTATGCATAGGATGAGTTACTCAGAAAGAATAAATCTTAAATTATCATATCTAAATCCTGCAACAAATTTTGATAACCATAATTCTAGAGACCATTGCCTATTGTAACAGAGCTGCGAAGAAGGTGCGATACCTGTTTTGATGATACCCGTTCCCAGTCTCCATTGTCTGGTTCACTTTGCACACAGACCTGTTATTTTATCAAATTACCTGTGAAATTACCACATCCACCCACAAATACGGGTGGATTAGGGTACTAATAAAACACATCTGTACCAAACCGCTCAATTTCAGCTTTTCAGATCGATACTACTGCATCAACAACATTCAGGAAAAGTACTCAAAACCCCGGAGGGCCGAGAAGATACGAACAAGGCTGCGATTTCAGAGTGAGGAGGAGAGTTTCTTCCTGCCACGCAAGGCAAAACGGAATAAAAAAATTACGTTTTGGCCGTGTGAAGGGCGCTGTTCCTGCCCAAGGGGTCGGCAACGGGATCGCCTCAGCGGCACCACTCCGGCTGTCCCGTTGCCAGCCGCCCTCACAGTGCGCAGAGCATTCTGGGAATGACAGCCGCCTGCGGGTCCTCCGCCATTGTGGCTGCCCGCTGATAGCCTGATCCGCCCCACACCGGAGATTATTCCCGCGCTGCGGATCCTGTTCCCCTTGGCCTCGGGGAAAAACAGCAGGAGGAGCTTAGCGAGGAGCGATATCGTCGGTAACGTCGTCCCCTCAGGGCAAGGGATAGTCGTCCGGAGCGATGCCTGTGCGCAAAGTGGAGGGTGGGTCACGTGACGGCGCCGGCCGGCGGCGGCGGAGGAGGGGAGCG